GGCCGGAGTGGCGCATCCTCAACCACCTGCTCGCCTGTTCCTACACTCCCAGCAAGGGCTCGGCCAACCGGGTCACCCTCCGGACCCTGTTCTTCATGCAGGCAATGGGTCGCTCTGAGGACTCCATCCAGCTGGGCTCGGTGCTCGCCCGGACATTCGGAAAAGCCGCAGCTAGCCAGGATCGCGACCTTGTCTGTGGCCCGGTGATCACCGCCTTGGCCCGCTACTACGGGGTCGACTTCACCGGGATGACCCAGGTTCGAGGACCAACCCCCTCGGCGAGGCCACCCTCCGCGCCCAGCATTTGGTGGCTCGCCAAGGGCGTGTGCACTGGATTGTGGGTCTCCCCCGCCCACCTGCACCTGCAGAGGGAGACCAGCCGGAGTCCAGCGCAGCTGGGGGACGGCGGGTTCCCCGCCGTACTGTTCCGCGTACCCAGGCTCCCGCGAGCCCCTCCGCTGCACCCAGGTCTCTTGCTCCTGGGTCTCCTCCTCCCGTGGTGCCCATCTCTGATCAGTTGGCGGCCATCACTCAGCAGAACGAGCGCATTTTGGCCGACCAGGAGCGCCTTCACACCCGCCTCGATCCTGAGCGGGACCGCGGCCGTCGTCTGATGTCCGGCCAGCACTACATCATGTCATACCTGGGCCTGGACCCGAACGAAGTTCACTATCCCTTCGTGCAGTCCCCGGGGCATGAGGACGAGTACCCCCCACCTTCCGGCGATGGTGGCAATGCATTCTAGTGGAGAGAGCGCCTGGTTATGCCCGTGATTTCTTTTCCAGACTAAGACTCCCTGTTCTTGTTGTTTCGTTTGGTTTTGTTTTATTTTATTTTGGATTGTAGACTCGGGACTCCGGTTCTTTCACCCAGTGTGTGTCTTTGTTGACTTTAGCTCTATGCCTCGGACTGGTTCCCCTTTCAGTCCCCTGCTATTGACTGGTCTGCCTCTCAATCTCCGTTCTTGATCTCCTTTCACAGTAACATCGTTCCCCTTCCATCTGCTCCATTGAGGACATTGTCGCATTTAAGTGTGGGGGGGGGGGGGGTTCTTTGTATTAATTGGAACGTGTGTATGGGTGCTTGGAGCCTAGTCCACTGTCCAAATCTCGAGATTTGAGGGCTCCAAGCATTGCTGTCTGCTTGATGTTTGATCGTATTGGCACAGTGGATGTGATTAGTGAATTGAATGGCTTTTGACTTGATCCATGACAACTTGAGTGTGACTAAGACAGCCTATTATGATGACTGAGATGTGTAGTAGAGTTGTGTAGGGGTTCAGTTTTCAACTGTTTGCTTATCAACTGTGACTTGGATTTGATCACTTGCTTTTGACAGTCATTTATGCATCTAGTTCAGGGAATCAGAATGTGAGATAGAGCATATAGGTAGCCATGTGAGATTTGAGCCTGCTCGTTTCTTTCTTGTGCGATAGATCCCTCTTCCATGATATGTAGCATTCACGTTGTCACTAGCTAAGATGATGGAGGCATAGGATTAGCCCACGACCAAATTGACTGTCCTGATGTGTCATATCCCCTAGTCAGCCCCTTGAGCCGTGTGTTATCCTTTCTTTCGGTCTACAATGAAAAATCACCCTTTTGCATCTTTTAGAAGGTTCCACGGAGTGGGTTTTACATGTTTTCTGCTGTTTCTGCTAAATGTAATGTGAGGGTTGGAGGTAGTGCTTAAAAGTTGGGCATGTGTTTGAAAAATGTGCAGAGGTGGTGGTTCTCTTGAGGAATGAAAAAAAATAAAGAAAATCAAAGAAAAAAATGAAAGCAAAAGAGAGCCACCACCAAAAATCTGAATAGTGCCCATTAAGTAGTGTTTCTTAGCAGTCTGGCTTGGAAATGCTAACATTTATATAACCTCCTTCGCTCTCGTGCCCTAAAGAATTTGAGTAATGCAGAATAGCAGAAAGAAAGTTACTGGTTTGCTTGACTGTGATTTTGTTGGGTTTGGAAATGTGGAACCTTGTGCTATTACTTCCACCACCTAAAAGGCCTTTTCCCCATGTCCAAGACCCTAGCCAGTCATTTGAACCTGTGTCTAAGACCTCCGGATTAGTTAGTGGTGACACCCCATATGTGAACTCTAGCATTTAGAGGCTGCATTCATGGTTAAGAGACGTTAGGGATTGAGAGAATAAGCATGCGCATTTTTCGCATCAAATTGTCCTAACCCCACTGGTCGAGAGTGAGCGATTCATTTTCTCATATTCTCTATACCTTTTATCCCGGTGAGGACCTTGATTGCTCGGTCTTAATTCTGATATCTTGAGCTTTGTGCATGAAGTGACTGTTTTGAATAAGTGGTTGAGTCAAGTCTATGTTGGTTGGTGAACAGAAGGGAACTCTTCCTTTGCTCGACTTTATTGCATTCGAATGTCATCTGTGGTGGTTGTCTAGGTTGTCGTTGGAGTTGCCATGTGTTAATGATCGAAAGCCAGTATGATCCACGTGTTTTGTGTCGATATGATTTGCCCTAAAGCCTGCTTGATTGAAACATTTTGAGCTTACCTGGTGTCTGACTTGGTTTGCTTGGGGACAAGCAAACGGTTAAGTGTAGGAGAATTTGATAACGATGAAATTGCACATGTTTGAACCCTTAGTTCTTATCCCTTTGTGGAGCATAGTCGTGTATTTTTGGCCTATTTTACGCCGGGTTGTGCTACTTTGTCACATTTCAGGTCCCAAACGTCGAAGGAAAGGCTAAGCACGAGTTTCGGGGCATTCGGAAGTCATTCGGTCGAGCTGGAGCCAAAGCACGGGCGCGCCTAGCTCAAAGCACGACCGTGTTTCTGGACCGTGCTTTTACTGCCTAGGCTTCACCCATATTTTTCCTACACCAGCTCAAAACACGGGCGAGACTGACTCAAAACACGGCCGTGTCCAATCAAAACACGCCCGTGTTTTCCCAAAGCAGCAGCCCCGTGTTTTTAACACGTGGCAAGGCACGGGAGGGCTGGAGCAAAGCACGGCCGTGCCCTCGACCGTGTTTTGCCCAGTGATGCCCTTTTAGGCAGATTTCAGCCAAAAGAGAAGGGGGGTTTGAGTTTTAGAGAGACAGAGCGATTCCTAGAGAGAGAAAGCGACGAACAAGAGTTCCCAAGTGCCCTAGCTTGATCTTCATCACCATTGGAGCTTGGCTTGAGCTTGGAGGAGTGCCGATCAACGTCCAGGAGCAGAAATACATCCTTCACAGTATGATTTTCGCGTCTGAATCTGCTTCTTCTTCTTTCTCCATGGAGTAGTTCTCCCATTCATCTGTGTATGGAAAACCCTATATTTGTATGTTAGGTTTGATTGTATGAACCCAAGTACTGATTCTATGATTTGATTATATTCTATTGAGGTTTGAATGATTGAATGAATTGAATCTTGATCAAATTCCTGTTGTTTCTGCTTTAACCTAGAATGAGAATATCTGCCTAGGTTGATAGAGCACACTTGATTGAAGGTAGGGAATTGGTGACTTTAGTCGAGGAGCCAACTATTCTGTACCGAATTCACTTCGGTAGTGGAGGTTTTGTTCGTTAGGGCCTCAATCTGTTTACTCCGGTGGAGGTTAGTCGCCCGCTAGAGACTCAGATTGAGAGGGTCTGGAGACCTTTAGTCGAGACTTCAGGCTGTTTAAGAACCTTCCGCAGTATAACTATCATAGAAACTGAACTTGGTAAATTGCAATCCGGCTTAACTGCAGTCTAGGGGGAACCATATCCGGGTGACCTTTCTCGACTTGAAACAACCGTTTAACTTGCTTTGTATTTTTGTTTGTTTGATCCTGCACTAAAGTTTCACTGCTAGATAACAAGAATTCACCTAGTAGTCATCAAATCTAGGACCCGAGTTGACATTAAAACCCAAACCCGCTATACTACGCTTTAGGAAGTGGTTACACTTGGCCATTTTCTAGAGTGACAGTAGGAGTGAGTCAGTACTTCTCCATGTCGTAGCGGCTGATAGTCCGATTCAAGTCACATCAACATAGTTAAGTAACCTGAGTCAACTAAACCGCTCTTTTCTATCTTTTTCACAAACGCTTCTTATCTCTAATTTTCAATGTAAATTTGAGTCAACCAAGAGATATCGATTTGACTAGACGAACATTGACAAACTTGCTCTCGAAGTCAAACGGTCAAGTCCGAACAACGTCTACATTAATGATAACTATAACAAAAAAAGTAATAATATTAATTATTAAGTAATTATACTACAATTATAATATAATTAAAAAAATCCATAATTCCCCCCCCCCTCCCTTCCTTCCTTCCCTTGCACCCCAATCTGGGAGTAAGCCGAAATAGTAATTCTGCACCCCCGTTTTGCACCCCCTACTGTTACAAATTATCCAAACGGGTGCAAATGTTTTGGAAACTGTATTTACCCCTCCCATTTGCACTGTGTCAAGGATTGACTGAGCTTTGACATACAAACCACCAATGACGTCAGACCGATTCTAGGTGTGAGGAGTTCTCTTGCTAAGGGCTGAACCTAGTCGCAACACAAGCTTCTTGGTAAAGCACTCATAGGGGATGCCCTAAATTTGCAAACTCACCGAAACCCAGAGAAGAGCAGCCGCCAAGTCGTAAAAGGCGATGCCCATGACGCCATGGAAATCATGAACTTCAAGAAGATCCAAGGAGTATCATCCACAATCTTCTGAATATATTCCTGCAGAGTGAAGACAAATTGAGTGAATCCAAGGAGTATCATCGAAATCTAGTCTGGAGATCGTGAAATCCCCTTTGCATCGTCAAACTCGAACCGACATCATCTTGAGTGTATGAAGCATCGGAGTCACTCCACTTAGTCGTCCAACAAGCAAATACTCACCACTCGAACACCAACAACCACGTCTTCATCCGTGAACTATACAAAAACCGCCATATCGATGCACAATTGAGAGCAAGCTGGATTTTTTTTTCTTCTTTTTCTTTCAAGGTCACATCAGTATTTATGGTGGTGTTAGTTTAATAATTTAGGAAGTTCATTTTATCAAAACACAAGTGGGACACTTTCTTCCAAGCGATTATATAAGCTGGAGGAGGGCGAAAAATATGAGTTCAGCATTAAGATAAGAGAAAGAGAATGATGGCGATTCAACTGAACCGCACATACACAACGAATCACCACTACCACTACCACTACCACTACCAGCAATCCAAGCCTCATAGCCTCTTCTCCACAACAAAACGACAAACCCCCAACCTCCAAGTGAGAGCAGCCTCCGAAGCCACCAACGGGCGGCAGCTAATACTTTCCGGCGCTGTCAAGCCGATACCGCCCAAGGACGCTGCCATTGCTATCACATCGGAAGGGTTCACGCTCCTGGACGTAAGGCCAGAATGGGAGAGAGAAAAGGCCCGAGTTCCCGGGTCGGTTCACGCCCCGCTCTTTGTTAAAGACCAGGACACCAGCCCTGTAACTCTGCTCAAGAAATGGGTTCATTTTGGGTACATCGGTCTGTGGACGGGCCAGAACTTCACGACCCTGAACCCGGATTTCCTCCTGCAAGTCGAGGCTTTAGTTCCCGATAAGAACTCCAAGCTGCTTGTAGCTTGCGGCGAAGGGCTAAGGTAAGAGAGGAGTTAATTATTACTATTGTACAATGCTCTGCTAATATTGAGAACATTTGAGACGACTGAGATTATAACTGGCAACAATTGCTCTCTGTTCAGGTCAGTCATGGCAGCATCGAAGCTTCACCAAGCAGGGTACAGGAACCTGGGATGGCTGGCCGGAGGATTCAACAGATCTGTCGATGGGGACTTTCCTGCCATTGAAGGGACTGAAAAGCTAGAGTATGCCACAATTGGTGGTGTTTCGTATTACTTCCTTCAATTGCTCATACTTTTGCAAGCTGTAGGCAAGAGCAATTGACTTCCTTGTAAAATCTGGATTTCTTGTATTTGATTCAATTTTGTACTCATCCGTTCCAAGTGAAAATGAAAACACAATGATGTGGAAGGCACATTCCCTTCAATGAAATTGCAAGAAAAGAAGCAAAGGCAGTGTATGGACGAAGCTAAAGCAACTAGCTTCAATGGAGGATGAATCCCAACTGATTTTATATCACATTTCATTCGGTTTCTGCAAGAACAGACAGCAACAGTAATCTAGAAAGACATCAGTCACCGAATTTCAGATAAACCCACAAGCTTTTCCCCTACAAATGAAGTTGAGAGAAACGACTATAGAGGCGACTAACAAATTTTCCATGTAAACGAATCACAAAACCAATAAGCCTCCTTCATCCCCTGTGCCTTCTTTCTTCTCATTCAGACCTGCTCGCAAACCTCTCCACCTTGCTATCATTCAGATTGATCCCAACCATGGCTTCCCCAAGCCCACAACTGATCTCAGCCAGGACATTCGGGTCGCTGTAATTGGTCACCGCCTGAACAATTGCACGGGCCCTTTTGGCCGGATCCCCACTCTTGAAAACCCCGGAGCCGACGAAGACGCCGTCGCAGCCCAGCTGCATCATCAGCGCGGCATCGGCGGGAGTGGCGACCCCGCCGGCTGCGAAGTGGACGACGGGGAGCCTCCCCAATTGCTTGGTCTGCATGACCAAATCGTAAGGGGCGGCGATCTTCTTGGCGAAGGTGAAGACCTCGTCGTCGTCCATGTTCCTGAGAACCCTAATGTCGCCCATGACGGACCTGACGTGGCGGACGGCCTCGATGACGTTGCCGGTGCCGGCCTCGCCCTTGGTGCGGATCATGGCGGCGCCCTCGCGGATCCTGCGGAGGGCCTCGCCGAGGTTGCGGCAGCCGCAGACGAAGGGGATGCGGAAGTTGTGCTTGTTGATGTGGTTGTCGTCGTCGGCGAGGGTGAGGACCTCGCTCTCGTCGACGTAATCGACGCCGATGGCCTCGAGGATTTGGGCCTCGACGAAGTGGCCGATGCGGGCCTTGGCCATGACGGGGATGGTGACGGCCTGCTTGATCTCCTTGATGAGCTGGGGGTCGCTCATCCTGGCGACGCCGCCCTGGGCCCTGATGTCGGCCGGGACGCGCTCCAGGGCCATGACGGCGCACGCGCCGGCCTCCTCGGCGATGCGCGCCTGCTCGGCGTTGACGACGTCCATGATGACGCCGCCGCGGAGCATCTGGGCGAGGCCGACCTTGACGGAGAAGGTGGATGTCTTGGTGGTCTCGGTCAGGGCGCCGTTTCCGTACACCGCCACAACGCCGGTTCCTTCCATCGTGTGGTTTTTGGGTTTGGTTAGAAGAAGAGAAGGGGGATAGGCGGCGGGGAAGGAAGGTGAGGATGGCAGGGAAACGGAGGCAGGCAGTAGGATTCGATTTATAGTGGGAGCCAGTGGATGGGAAGGAAGGGAGTGGGGTTTGATCAGACGGCTGGGAGAGAGGATTGTGCCAATTTGTTTTTTTCTTTTCTTTTCTTTTTTCTTTTTAGTAGGCGGTGGGCGAGTCCTGACTCCTGACTCAGCCGCGCTACTTGGGGATGTTGGTTTGCGTTTGGCCACGTCATTGAAAGGATAGAGGCAGGCAGAGGCGAAGGAGAGAACCAGAAAAAAAGGCATCGGCTACAGTGAGCGAGGTTGGGCCGGGCTCTCTCTGCGGGCTGCTGCGTTGCATTGCATTGCATGCACTTGGGGTTGGGAATCCGGGTTGTCGTTTTGTCCGGAGTGGTTGTCGTACTGGACGTTAGGGGATCAGGCGAGTGAGTGGGAGATTTTTGTTGATGCTATTAAGTGGGGCGGAGTGCCGAAACGAAGAGCGCGGTGGGCCGTTCATTTGCAATCTCCCCAGAAATTTCCTCCTCCCCACAAAATCTCAGTGGTTAGTCAAGCACACACCCCTAAGCGTGAAAAAAATAATAAGTGAAGGAACCCGTTTCCAACGTCTCTTTCATTGTTTGATTCACTCACTACCAAGGTTGTCAACCCGTGGATTGACCCGGACCCGATCGAACTAGTGGGTCAATGGTTAATGGATCACCCGGTTTAGCCCGTTTAGCCTGAAAATATGAAAAGAGTCATTATATTGTACTTTACTTGATAAATTATATCAAATGTCATCTAACATATGAGTAATAACATATAACATTACACCAAAGTAACATGTCGTACTTAGATCCAACATATAGTGAAAATTCACACACGCTTATATAACATCAATATTCAACTAAGAATTCCAAAGATTGAGTTAGGCGAAAAGAAAAACCGGAAAATAAGCGCATTTCGCAAACTAAAAAAAAATGACATAATTTGACCTCCAACTCGATACCTTATAGCGATCGACCCGACAGATGCGTACGACCCGTTTTTCTCATCGGGTCAGGATCAAAATGGGTCAACCCCACGGTCGACCCGCGGGTTGACAACATTGCTCACTACTCACTAGCCATTGTAAATTTGTAATGGCAATGGGACAAGACAGGGTTGAGGCAGGTAAAGTATACGGCGGATAATTTTTTATATGTGTACGTTGAGATCGATGGACTTATACGAGTATGTGATTTAAAAAGTAAAAATAAAACATTAGAAATAATTTTTTATTAAAAAAATAAAAAATTATAACATGATAAATATAGTTAAATTATTCAGAAAATTGAAGTTTTCACCTATTTATAGCTTCATTATAATAAAAATATGAGATGATAAAAGTAAAATTATAAATAATATAAGTAAAATTACATGTAATTTAGACAAAATAGATCTAGGATAGGACGGATCAGAACATATCAGGTCGAAGAGAGTAGTCATACCTGTACGTGGGCACCGAGCCGTGCCGCCCACGGGCTGGCACGGCACGGTTAGAGCACGGCACGAGCACGGCACGAAATAAATGGGCCAGCCCGACACGAGCACGGGCACGGCACGGTATATAAATGGGCCTTGTCGGGCCTCATATTTTCGAGACTTTATTGTGTATAAGAACGGACATGACACGAAAATAATATTTATTTGATAGAAAATAAATATAAAAAGAATTATAGGTTTAAATATTATAAAATACAAGTAGAAAAAGAATTATGTGTTGTTGTTAGAAGTGTCATAAAAATATATACTCTTTATACGTAATTACTATCATAAGTAAAAATGGACGAAGAATTAAACAAAGGCAAATCACACTCGCTATACTTCCAATTTTCTTTTCCCCTTATTTGTTACTGTTCTCAAACATTATCGGTTAATATTATCTTTCTCCATTCAATTTTCACATTCTTTTTCATTCTCTCTTTTGTTTTCTTCATTTTAATTAAATACGAATACGAGCATGGCACGAGCACGAATAGGCACGGCACGATTCGAACCGTGCCCGGGCCTGGAACTAGGCCTAGCAAAGTTAACAAATGAGCTTGCATGACACGACACGAAAACTTACGGGCTGTGCCAAACAGGGCACGAAATAAATGGGCCTGAAGCGTTGCCGTGTCGTGCCGGCCCAAACACGATCCAGCGCCCATGTACAGTCATACCCGCCCCACCACTATACCCATCCAAAACAGGTAAAAACATGTTTAATACCACAAATTAGGTCAAAATTGGCGTGAGAAAGATTGAATAATACACATCCTAGCACAAATCGTACACATTGTAGCACAAATCGGATCGAATTTTATCTGCCGCACAGATTTAAATTGACATCCCTACAGTCTTCTCTTGTAGTGTCTGGTTAGTGCCGGTTTCCAATTGTGTTTCGTTTTCATTTTTCTTGGTTTGTTTATTAAGGAATAATGATAAAATAAGAAAGATCTTCTGTAGTTTAGTATGACTAATTGACTGTCTCATTTTTTTAAATAATTTATCACATTCATTGGGAAAGAGAAAGGGGAATCTGTGTTCTCCTCTGAGATAATCCTTCTAGGATAGCAATGGATGGGTGAGGTGTGGATAGTGCATATTCGTTACCTTACTTAAAAAATAGTTTAAATTTTACCAATATTTATACTCACATAAGAAACGGATAGAAAATAAAAAACATGCCCATATCCATTCGGGTTTCGGGTATCCACAGTTATCCATGGATAATAATTTTTCTTCATAACTCCAACCAATATGTTAACAATCCCGCGTATTCTCATATTATGTAAGAGGAAAAATACAACAATAATTCACTATAATGAAAAAAATTAATTAAAACCATACAATTTCAAGAAAATACTATATTTATATGCTAAATATTAAATATGTTAGAGAAGACAAAATACATATGAATATGTATAATCGGGCGAGTTGGGATTGGACAATAAAAAACCCATGCCCACCCATTACCCGTAATATTCGGGTTCGGGTTTACCTGTACCCACTAAAAATCTTTCGGGTTCGAATTTTACCCTATCCGATTATATCAAATTCTGGCGGATGTCCACGATTCATGGTCCATGAAACCGTACCGTACCGGCGGTTCAACCACGAAATACCAGTATCGGAGGCTAAACTGGTAGGCGGTATTTAACAATACAACGGTTGAACTACGATAAAACCACGGTTTTACCATAAAATACCCTACAGCTGAATTTTCCGGTACGATCTCCGATACGGTTTCATGGACCATGCCACGATTACGGATATTTTTGTCATCCCTAATCCCTCCCCACAAGCAAATATCTTCTACGAAAGCCAGCCAGTCAGTGGTCACATGTATCTGGAGTGGGCGGCGGCTACTCATTTCAATAAAAAAAAACAAGCATTCACAGCATACCTACCAAATCCAGAATCTGCTAGCGGAGGCCCGCATTCCTCAATGTTTTACTTTTATCTAACGACTTCTTAGTTCTTACCTTTAAACAAAAACAAAAATAAGGAGTGCGGATCTGGTGACTAAGGGGGGTGCTTAGTCACTTGACTAAGCCCCTCCTAGCCATTAGATCTGGACACTTCAATCCAATGGTTAAAAAGTGGGAAGGGCTATTTAATTAATAGCAGGGGTAGTTTGGGTATTATGAAAAATTACAAAGTATACAAACCGGATTTACAATCAGTACAAACCATACAAACATACGAACAGTACAAACTAGAGCAACAAAACATACAAACATTACAAACGTATGAACTGTACAAACAATACAAACTAGACTGACAAAAAATACAAACCATACAAACATACGAACAGTACAAACTAGAGCGACAAAACATACAAACATTACAAACGTATGAACTGTACAAACAATACAAACTAGACCGACAAACAATACAAACCATACAAAAGGAAAAAAACACCCGGGTTGACTTTTGAGGCTCCATCCCTATATAGAGGGGCTCCTTCCCAAAGTCAACCCGGGTGTTTTTTAGACATACAAACAGTACGAACATGGTGGACAAAAATGACAAACTAGACCGACAATCCATACGAACGGGAAAAAACACCCGGGTTGACTTTGGAGGCTCCATCCCTATATAGAGGGGCTCCTTCCCAAAGTCAACCCGGGTGTTTTTTAGACATAAAAAACATTACGAACATGGTGCACAAAAATAACAAAGTTTACAAACATGGTTAACAAAAATAACAAAGTTTACAAACATTACAAAAAAACCGACAAACGTTACAAAATAACAAAGCATACAAACATTACAAAATATGTCAACAAACATCACAAAATTAGCACTGTCGCCGGGAAATTCTTCTCCGGCGACGATGTTCGCCGGAAAAAAATTTCCGATCAAAATATTTGTTCGACCAAAAAAAAATCTCTCTCTCTCTCTCTCTCTCTCTCTCTCTCTCTCTCTCTCTCTCTCTCTCTCTCTCTCTCTCTCTCTCTCTCTCTCTCTCTCTCTCTCTCTCTCTCTCTCTCTCTCTCTCTCTCTCTCTCTCTCTCTCTCTCTCTCTCTCTCTCTCTCTCTCTCTCTCTCTCTCTCTCTCTCTCTCTCTCTCTCTCTCTCTCTCTCTCTCTCTCTCTCTCTCTCTCTCTCTCTCTCTCTCTCTCTCTCTCTCTCTCTCTCTCTCTCTCTCTCTCTCTCTCTCCTCTCTCTCTCTCTCTCTCTCTCTCTCTCTCTCTCTCTCTCTCTCTCTCTCTCTCTCTCTCTCTCTCTCTCTCTCTCTCTCTCTCTTCCTCTCTCTCTCTCTCTCTCTCTCTCTCTCTCTCTCTCTCTCTCTCTCTCTCTCTCTCTCTCTCTCCCTCTCTCTCTCTCTCTCTCTCTCTCTCTCTCTCTCTCTCTCTCTCTCTCTCTCTCTCTCTCTCTCTCTCTCTCTCTCTCTCTCTCTCTCTCTCTCTCTCTCTCTCTCTCTCTCTCTCTCTCTCTCGTTGCACCTGGTGGAAAGAAGAATTCCCAGAACTCTCAAACTTGGGGAATAAATTCCCACGCACTGTGGAATTCCCGATCCCGGCGGAAAAAAACGAGGCGGCCGGCCGGGGAAAAAAAAGAGGCGGACGGCAGGTAGAGTGAGCCGGAAAAAAAATAATTAATAATTGAAAATAAAAATAATCATGAACTTACAATTTTGCCCTTCATTAAAGTAGATTAATTGTAGCCATTAGATTTTAATGAGATGGAAGGGCTGAGATTTACTTAGTCATGTGACTAAGGGACCCCCCTTAGTCACCTGATCTTAGCCCAAAAATAAGGGAAGCGGAAGCTGATCATGTAAATTAGCAACTGGAAGGACATGGGGCATCTAGTTTACCCCTGATGACTATTGCTGCCAGCCAATGCTATGTGCACAAAAATACCCTTTTGGCTCTTGTCTTGCCGCAGCAGCTATCCAACATGTCCTCAGCCTGGCGGTGCGGGTGCTTAAACTGTATAGATCTTCCTCACCTTCTTCATCTGCCGACGGCAAATAGGGCAGCTGCCTGACGCCTCAGCAATCCTGCACCCAATCATAACAATTCTATCCTTAAGGATCCCCAATGCTTTTCAACACTTAACAGATCATGAACATAAGCCAGATGAAGGAGCGGGAAGACCTAGGATGTAGAAGAGCATAACATGACTGATTCGGCAGATTTTGATTCCTACTGTATGTTCTTTCGAAATTGAAATTTCGGATGTTGAATTTTTTTTATTAAGAAGGAAATTCATCTAATAGTTCTAGCTACTGACACTCGTATATATCCTCCTCAAGAGTGCGGATCCGGTGACTAGGGGGGGTGCTTAGTCACTTGACTAAGCCCCTCCTAGCCATTAGATTTGGACACTTCAATCCAATGGTTAAAAAGTGGGAAGGTCTATTTAATTAATGGCAGGGGTAGTTTGGGTATTATGAAAAATTACGAAGTATACAAACCGGACTTACAATCAGTACAAACCATACAAACATACGAACAGCACAAACTAGAGCGAAAAAACATACAAACATTACAAACGTATGAACTGTACAAACAATACAAACTAGACTGACAAACAATACAAACCGTACAAAAAGAAAAAACAACCGGGTTGACTTTGGAGGGTTCATCCCTATATAGAGGGGCTCCTTGCCAAAGTCAACCCGGGTGTTTTTTAGACATACAAACAGTACGAACATGGTGAAAAAAATTACAAACTAGACCGACAATCTATACGAACTGGAAAAAACACCCGGGTTGACTTTGGAGGCTCCATCCCTATATAGAGGAGGTCCATCCAAAAGTCAACCCGGTTGGTTTTTAGACATAAAAAACATTACAAACATGGTTGACAAAAATAACAAAGTTTACAACATGGTGCACAAAAATAACAAAGTGTACAAACATTACAAAAAAAACCGACAAACATTACAAAATAACAAAGCATACAAACATTACAAAATATGTCAACAAACATCACAAATTAGCACTGTCGCCGGGAAATTCTTCTCCGGCGACGATGTTCGCCGGAAAAAATTCCCCTCTCTCTCTCTCTCTCTCTCTCTAGGCTGGAGACGGCGCAATTAACCGGACGAAGGCGACGCAGACTTATTTTTTTATTTCTTTTATAATTAAAAATTAAAAATAAACATAGAATTACTATATTGCCCTTTATTAAATTGAATTAATAAGAGCCTTTGGATTTTAATGAGGTTGAGTGGCTGAGATTCACTTAGCCATGTGACTAAGGGGACCCCCTTAGTCACTTGATCTCAGCCCCCTCCTCAATCAAGTGCCAATCATATTATTTGTGCCACAGATAAGGCAGAGTAAAATAATATAAAGTGGAAAAAGCAGAAGTTACCTTGTTCCGCAAGCAAAACAAGCAACACAATGACCGCAAGGCAGGAAAAAGCAATCTCTTGGAGCATCGAAACAGATGGCGCACAGCCGCCTTGTGTAGCTGCTATTTTCACCATCTCTCGATGATTTCCCCCCTTCTACAGAACCTCCTGCCATAAGCTCTCCAAGATCGTTTTCTTCACTTGACACTGATTCATAAGATGAGCCCCAACTTGAGAGATCGTCATCTTTGTTTGAAAGTAGGGGGGCTCTACCGGGTTCTAACCCCCCACCTCCATTTCTTTCTCCGTTCATGGACCGAAACTTGTTTAAGACGTTTAAGCCCACCAACATGAGTGCTGACATTCCAGCTACAGCCAGAAAAAGCCAAGTAAACATATAGCATGCACCAAAAACTACCAAAAGAAAAGTAGAACAATCAAACATACCAATACCGAGTATATATATTGCCCATCTTGGTTCATAGGACAACTTGACATACCACTCTTTTCCAGGCGATACCTGAAGCAAATTAGAAGATGTTTAGCGATTTATCAATAGAAGTCAATTCTACTGTTGAAGTTCAGAATTCAATCAAAGAAGAAAATCCCATTTTCAAATGTTGAAGTAGATCTCAGCATAAAACATTAGTCGAACCTGTTCAGTACTAGGAGAAGTTAAAAGTACAGGATTTTTGGCGAGGAACAACACCGTTAAACTACACAGGCCACCTGGGAATGCACACTTGTAATAAGCTCCACTTGTGTCGTACAGCAGAGCTCTTATTGTGATTTTTAAGTGGACCTGCCCAATTAGAGTTTGAAATTAGACAGGTGTTAGGCTGCAAAGGAAGAGAGAACGGAAGCTCTAAATACTGCTTTTGTGCCATCAATGGACAAAGTTGACAACTTTCAAGAGCACAAATCAGTAATAGATTTAGGGTTAAGTAGCCATTTCTAGAAATATTTCTAATTCTCCTCCTAAGATAACTCAACTATTATCTGCCATGAACCTGAGAACGGAAGTCTAGCAGGCACTTGAGAACATAATTCTAGCAGTCTAGCATGCACTTGGGAATTGAGGTAACAATAAGTAACCCCATTCATCATCTCATGCTAACACCTTTAACCAACCAAGAAGACTGTCTCCTGAATGCAAAATGCACCTTGAATGCAAATTGTCCAAGTTGGAACTAAGAAAAGATGATACAACAAATAGAGCCAAAATCCCATGTTGTTGTGGTGCTGCATCAGGGAAAATAAGACATCCACAGATATGAACCCATCGAATTTGGCATCAGATCAAAGGTATACCAAACTACCTGCACTTTGTAAGAGTTCAGGTTGCCAACACCAACATAGTAGAGTGAAGATCTGTTTATTCTCTGGAAGATAGCACCACTTCCTATACCAAAAGTGATTGAATAGTGGTAAACAGCTTGTTGGAAAGGGAAGCAAAACAGCAGGCACTTCCATAAAAAAAATTCTAGCTTACCATGGATAACCTGCCACAACAAAGTAACATTAGGATATGCTGGCTCCTCCAGCCACTGGTTGAAGTCTTCTTCTCCTGAAATTGCTTGATTTTCAGAGCAATGTGGAAAATCCAAAAGCAATTGGGTCTAGAGTCTAGACAAGTGAACTAATGCTAGAAGCAAATTCAGAAAATGAGAACTTATTCGACGTGACGGATGTCTGTTGAAGTGAAGCAAACTCTTAATGTGTTTCTCCAAGAGGAAACGATGTGACAAAAATCAATCAACCAATTTCTACTCGTGATAATACAATACCAGATGATCTTGTAACATGCCACATGGTTTTCTATAATAGTAAATACCATAAAACGGACCTATCATCAACTAGTAGAGAACCATTTCCCACCATGGATCAGTTACCATCCTCACTGAGTCCTCCAAGAGCTAGGCTCTTTTAACTAAGCAGTTGATGTTAGACAAAGCCAGTCCGGTAACTCAAAGTGTTTGCACAAAAGAAGGTACTTCTATTAGAAAGATGTCTCACTATTCATTTCTCTTAGATGCAGCATCATCTAGATTAATAGATGCATCGAACAAGCATTACTGATTGCCTCCTCCCATTATGTCAAATAAAGGCTTTTAACCATGCTTGTTCATTCTATGCAATGCCTAGTATCAAATTTAGAAAGGTTCATTAATTTGCTCCAAGTAGAGAATAAGTGATCTGGTAAGTGAGCACAAAACAGAGGCATGCCATTATCAAGAAAAATCCAGAAAGAAGAGTTTCGGTGTACCTTGGGCAATGACAAGGAAGACAGCAGAGCTTGAGGAATTCACAGTATATGAGATATTGATCTCGGAACCCTCGTTCAGGTGATAAACCCACTCCTGAAAAATTTGAAGAACATTAAATACCAGTAAGACCTTCAGCGACTCTGAAATGGGCAGCTTTATGAACATCACTGATTGCAGAATAAACTTGCCTCGTGAGAATTAGAAGGAACAATTCCACTGTGAGAGTCTGACCACGTTTCTACAACATCGAGTGGGGGAGATTCATAAAATCCATACAGCATCAGACCAGGACTAGAATCATTCAACTCTTCTACCTAGTGCAAGCCAGCAATTTACCATCAAACAGCAATACATAAGATGGAACAGAACACCACAGATGAAAATGGCAGCCTTACCTTTACAGCCTGCACGAATAAGGGATTAGGTTCAATGAGAAGCGAGCAATTAGGTCCTAACTTCAGTCTCTCAGGGCCATATACTCCAAAAATCAAAGTCATGGAAACTGCAAGCCGGGAAAATCCATCATAGATCAAAATCTAGTATGCAATTGCCTATCTCCGCCGCTCTGGTCCTCCAAACCGGAACAAGAGCAGCCGAAAGACCAGAAATTATTCCAGTAAGAAGGAATTACAACGAACACTTCATAAGAAGAAGGGGAAAAAAGGATCATTCCGTGAATACGAAAGAGCTTGAGGAAACGAAGACTAACTGAAGCACCAGAAGGTGAGGACGACGGTGACACAGGACCAAGTATCATCTCCGAGCGACGGAAGGCCATTGGTTTGCGGCGAATTCCTCCCTGGATTAGAGACTCCAACCTCTTCCTGCTGGTGCCCTATCTCCGGCTCAGGAAAACGGTGCGATTCCTGCTCGCCAGGATCCTCATCTTCCTCCTGAACTTGCGAGGAAGAAGAAGGAGAAGATTCCCTCGTCGAAGTCTGTGACGCCGCCCCGGAGGGTACTTCCGCCGTTCCGGAACCGGAGGTAGACGGAGAACCACCGTTATCCACATCGATTGCAGAATGAGAAGGAGAGGAGTGAAAAGAGGGAGGAGGTGAAGTGCTAATTGATCCTTCCTCCATTGCGAGGCAAGTAGTAGAGGGAAAAGGGAAACCGATTGGAAGAAAGAAACTGCAGCAGTCAACCGCAAACCTCGGATGAAAAACTGATGAGTGGACTGCGCGCTACTGAAGAGTTCCATTGGGAAAGGAATGGATGGTCAGGTCCGGGTGACTGCAAGACTCACCAATCAGTCCGCAACTCCATTTCTCCCCAGCAAGAATAGTTGTTGCAGCAATTTGCAATTTGGCAGCTAGTATCTCCTCGCCTGTGCCAATTGCCAATGATTTTAGAGGTTAGTTACATTTCGATCATATGAGTTTATGTTTATTAACATGTTAGTCCTTGGATCAGCATTTTTTGTTTGTTAATGGCCGTTTGGTTTTGGTGATAATTAAATTGATACATTGCTAGCAATGTATATAAGGGGTCGTTTGGAAGTTGTGATTGTTAAATAGAAGTATTGTTGTCAATGCATGTATAACATTATACATGTATTGTTGAATTTGATGCATTATAGAATACAACGTTTGGTATGTGTGATTGTGTATGTCATATCAGCTAAAAGCTGAGATATAACAATCACTTATTTTGAGTGATAGTTTCTGTCACATCACAGAAACAATCCATATATTGTTTCTACTAAAAAAACAACAAAAATGATGCATTCTAAATAATACATGTATAATAACAATCGCAACTTCCAAACGAATCCTAAGAAAATTGGTGTATTGTAGTTTACACTGTTTGGTTTCGGTGATAGTTAGGGTGCGCCTATGGTGACATGCATGTCACCGTAACTTGTACTTTTTGGTCGACCTAATCCTAACAGAGGTCGCCCGAATACACTAATGTGGGCACCCTGATGACTTATCACGGTCGACCTTTAAAAGGTAGTGGTCGAACGTTTGTAGTTTAAGTTGTCATTGTTGGTCGACCACAATAAAACATCGGTCGCCCTTTTCATTGGCGTCAGAAGCAAAATGGTCAACAGTAAATGTATATAGGTAGACCACTTGATGGTGGTCATTAACAAAATGGTCGACCATTTACAGAAAGAGGTCGACCAGATAGAAGAGAAGTGTTGTATTCATTTATCCATCATCATTTTACGTAAAATGGAGATCAAGTGTTGGTTTCGCGGTCGACCTAATTCGGTACGAGGTCGACCGAATACAGGAAAATCAACCTATGTCATGTGTCTTTTTTGCTTATGTATGTCGATGTGGGTGGTTCTTTTGATTGTACAAATTACGTTTCAAACCAACAGAATCAGTAATAAATAATGATAACAAGGACTCATAACTTCATAGCATAAAAACTAAACAAACTATCAAGAAATACAATAAAACACAAATCATAATTGTTCACACATAACTAAAATCTAAAACCACATAATATCAATCCACAATCGTTTTTAACACTTAACAACAAAAACACACATTCTAAAATCGTCGAGTTCCTACTCCTGTCCCCTCTCTCCCTCATCCACATTTTCTTCATTGGTGTTGCTAGCATTATGGTAGTCGGATATGGTAGGATGCATGTATCTTCCACCGAAAGATCGAAACTCATCTCGCATCTCATTCATGGTCACCTGCAGTGTGCTCATCTGGGTAGCCATTTTCCCCATGAAGTCGTACATGTCAGTCATCTGGGTGGAAATCTGGCCCATGTAGTTGTACATGCCAGCTATGCCCTCCCACATACGCTCTAAGGTGACCGGTGGAGTTGAACTCTATCCCTGCGCCATTGGCTCGTCTCTGGCTCCTTCATTAGCATCACTAGCATCATCCTCATCATCATCACTACCATGGACACCATGAGCATTGTGTATTCGGACATACTCACCATTACGCAGCTCAAATCCCATCTTTTTTAGAGATGAAACTGCATATAACTCCTGCCTTGAGATTCTTAATCCAACCTCACCACTTAAATCCACATTAAAATGCTCAAATAGCAAAGTCAAGATTATCCCATAAGGAAGATTCCTGTTTGAACTCTCTGCAGCAGTAAGCATGTGGTTAAAGATCAAGTACGACAAGTTAACCTTCTCATTTGAAAGTAGGTTGGTGAGGAGCTCCATGTCGAAGTAGGTGACTGCCTCCCGATGTCCACTCTTTGGCAGAATGTTATAGGAAGAGCATGTGGTGAAGAACTTTGGCTTGAACTGTCAGCTGGTTAATCGTTGGCCTACTGCGATCCTGAGCATCTTCCTCTTCAGCAAGACCATATACAATCTGAATTTGCTAGATTCTCGAGAAATGAGTTTCATTCCAAGCACTGTAAGAATTGATTCTCTTCCCCTGGTTTGGAGTCTCCAGTACTTCTACCAACACATTCTTGCTGATGCGCATCTCCAACTCATTCACATAACTTTTAAATTCTTGAATCGATCCATTTGCATTATGCTGATAGACGATGTTGTTGTAGAAGTACTGTACTATTTTTGGATAGTATGGTGCACTGAGAGATATCACCTTCAGCCACTCTTCTTCCACAAATGGTGCTAGAAACCCGTAATTTTCGAAATGAGAATACGCATCTATCGTCAATGGCCTTCCAGGAGCCACCTTGCAGTTGTGCATTCTCCTCTCTTCAAATTTGTCACTTTGCTCCTTGGTCTGGAACAGAGTGGGGTTGAACTCTTCCCATTCAGAACTTGAGGCAGCCGGTTTTTCTTACTTTCTTTTCTTTTTTCTTCCAAATATCCTGATATCAAACAAGCGACAATTTACGTTAGGCACATTTTCGAAACAATAAGAATCGTTCGACCTGTCCCTAAACAGGTCGACCTATACACTACATGCATAGACAAAACAGAACAATGATAGGTCGACCTCAAGATGATCACTAGTCGATCTCAACTTCATGGATCAGAAAATAACACAACTATGTTAGCATAAACAGACGAGACAAAAACAACCCAGGTCGACCTCAACAATCTCGGTCGACCTCAAACATGAAGCACAACCTAAATCGTAAAACTTGCACAAATTGTAGAGAGAAAAAACATCAGAGGTCGACCTCAAGATCATCACTGGTCGACCTCAGTTGCATCAATCAGAAAATAAACACAACTATATTAGCATAAACAGACAAGAAAAAAACAACCCAGGTCGACCTCAACCATCCTCGATCGACCTTAAACATGAAGCGCAACCTAAACCATAAAACTTGTCCAAATCGTAGAGAAAAAAACGTCATAGGTCGACCTCAAGATGATCACTGGTCGACCTCAATTTCATGAATCAGAAAATAACACAACTATATTAGCATGAACAAATGAGACAAAAACAACCCAGGTCGACCTCAACCATCCTCGGTCGACCTCAAACATGAAGCACAACCTATTAGCAGATGGGGATGAAATAGAATGGAGGTTTTGGTGTTTTTCCTATGGTTTTTTGTGGAAGAAGAAGAAGGGAAAGGAGAGAAAGAAGAAAGGGGTTCTGGTTGTGGTTGTGGTAGAGAATGAGTGGAGGAGTGTGTTATATAGGGAGTAAAGGGGATGGGAGGATAAGGTTTGGGCGGATTTCGAGGTGCATTTAAGCTGAAACAAGGAAGCGGTCGACCATGAGTATAAAATGGTCGACCTCTTCTGATCTAGTCGACATTTTCTTTTGTCATGTCAACCATTTTCTCTGTTCCACTCAATTTAAATCGACAATCAACTACACTTATATTATGAAGATAATTTTAACATACATAGAAGCGAAAATAAAACACTGCAATCATAGTTACAAAAATTAAACTCCTAAAAAAATTAGAAGAAATTTAAACTCTTTTTTTGGAACTTTTCTTCGGACACTTAGGGAGAAAATGTCCATATTTCTCACATTTGAACACTTTCTTACACTTTTGCCTGATGCAGTTCGTGCATACTTGAATGTTCTCTTGGTCTTCCCAATTGTTGGGTCTTTCACACTTGGAAGAGGTGCTGGAGGGTTTGCAGGTGCACTAGTATCCATTCTCTCCCTTGTGAACTCAATTGCCCATTGAGTAAGGTTATCCAATGCTAAGGAGACATGATTAAAAGCAGTTTCATCACCACACGCGATGTCACACAAACGCTTACACTTTATTGACACTCCCCCTTGTCTTATCAGTCCATCGACTTTCTCTGCCACATCACCTCCAACTCCGCGATTGCAAGATAGTGTCTTTGCATTTTGGCTCAATCAAAGCTTGAACCACGTGGAGGGTAGTGCTATAAATCCCTTGTGTTTTATGACTGTAAGCATATGTCTCCATGGAAACTCCTTCGATTCAAACAATGCACACTCACATTTTAGATGTTAAGTGGTCGTAGTAAATGTTAACCTCCTTATCCGACTCTGGTTCATGCAGTTCTTCAGAATGAATGTCTCTGTCCCATTTATTTCAGTTCTTGTCTTCGCTAACACATAAGAAGCTTCATTCTCTAGTTCACACTTGAAGATAGCAAATGTACGATGTGTGTAGATACTTTCAGCTTGCAGTTCCCATGTGCGAAGAGCATGCTTGCAGACCAACCTCGTGTGCTTAGAAGAATAATCATAATGCAACTTCGTGTAACACATCCCTCCCAGTGCTTCATTGATGCCCTGAATAAAACGTTGCAAGCTGTATTGAGTTCCTACATACCCATTTATCCAATGGTTACATGACTCACTTCGCGAGGTTGATTTAAGTTCACCGAAATAAATATCCTTCAAGTATGCCTCTGCCCAATGTAATTTGTCAGCGTACAAATCCCGCAACCACTTATTTGCAGACAAACCATGCTCAGTAATCAAACGTTCCCAGTGGCTCTCAAAATCCTCAGTTGTTATACGTGATTTCGCCAGGTGGGTAAAGGCGCTAACGAACTCTCTATTATGAATAGTTGTTGTCACATTTGTCTCGATATGTCAAATACACAGTCGATGCGGCACTCCAACCAGTATAGTAGAAATGGCGCCACACATAGACTTGCATCCATCTGTGATCACTGAAGTCGGCATCTTAGAGTTCATACACTCCAGAAAAGTATTCAACAACCAAATGTAGTTGGGGATTGTCTCGTTATCCAGCTGGGCAAAACCATATATGATGTTACGGTGGTGGTGATTTACACCAACCATCATAATAAATGGCCGATTGTACTTGTTCCGGTTGTAGCATACATCAAACGCCAAGACATCCCCAAAAAAATGGTAATCTGCTCTGGATGTGGAGTCCGACCAAAAGAGATTGTGCAATTCACCTTGATCGTTGGTTGTGTACTTGAAGAAGTTGCTAG